GGACTGGGCCATGATGGAAGCAGCTCCACAGATAATACTCAAGTAGTACGTCCAGTAGGGAGGAGAGCCTTGAATCATGTTGCTTCGCATCATTTGCCTATTTGGCTGGCAAGCCCCTTTCAAGAACCCACCCACCTCTCTTCCCAAAAATTGGCATGAGCTCAAATCTTCAGTTCTTTGGCTTGCAACATAGCTTTGGTGAGGAGCTTGTGATGTGAGCACAATGAGCTACTGCTCCTTATCTCAATATGGTTCCTGTTCCAAGTCACAACATTGTACTGGAAAATAATAATCAAATTTTCATTTTGGAGGAACACCTTTGAGATGGAATCACTGTTAGGCTCATTATTATTGAGGGCAGTGTTATGTCCATGACTAGACCACAAGACAGGAAAGAACCAGGTACAAGGAAGTTTCTGATTCATACAGTAAAAAATGGATGCAGTTAGTTGTACTTAATGGACTGTGGTGGGAAGAGAGATGGTGACGTGCCAGGTTGGCAGAACGTGGTTGAGTGGAGGAAGAACAGTTAAGATAATGCATATTTGCCTATATAGTGCTCTTGCAGACTTTTTGAACTCTGTCCAGTCATGCATTACTGAATTTGGTGTGAGTCTCCATATGAGAATCCTAAAGGGGAATTTCTCAATCCCTTATTATATGCTGCTTCCCACTAGCTAAAACCTCTGTATGCCCTCAGTGGAGAATTTCTCCCACACTTTCATAAGACTGGATCCTAAATTATGCTTGTCAGTTTGAATACACTGTGAAGTAGTAACATATCATAGACAGTTACTTGCATTATGCTTTTCTTTAGAAAACACTAAACCAGAAGATGAGTAGGGAGGTGGAGGAGGGAGACCTGTGACAAATTATTGTAGGTACTCCAGTTCATCCTTGCTCTACTTCAGGATACCCTATTCCACTCACATCCAACTTTTCTATTTCCACCTTGTAATATTCAGTTGGCAATCCACAATCATTGTTTTCAAAGATCCTTTTCTACATTGTTTTTTAAACAAACAAACAAACAAACAAACAAGCAAACACAATTTTGGTACTGTGGAAAACACTGGGTACCCCTAAATCTGCTAATACCTATACTTTGTGAATGAATAGTGCTGTTTTGGCTGCATGAGAATCCACACAAACACACCCCTTGTACTTTGGAAATAGAGGGGACAACACCAAATGGCCATCATGGCCATAATTGGCCAAGGAGAAAAAGAGGTGGTGAAAATTTTGAACTAGGGCAAAGATTTATTCTGAAGGACTCATTCATAAAAAGTGTGACGTGGGTGTCCCTGAGGTGAACCTGCAGCTCAGTGAAGAGGATCAAAGCTCTTCAGGTTTTTGTGCAGCTCGCCTTGCATTTCCCACCACTGTGTCACTTGCAGCACAATGGTAGATCCCAGCGTCCCCCATCTCCACCTTGCTGATGGACAGCTCTGTAGACAGATTCCCTTTGTCAGTGTCCATCTCCAACCGTTCTTTCTTCTCGGTTTTAGAGTAACTGTGGATGACTATGGAAGGGGCTGCATCTTGGGTTTGCTTGTACCAGAAGACCGAATCATATGTAGAGAGTCTGTGTTTACAGGAGATCCGCGCTGTTTCCCCCAAAGAAAATGAGACTTCAGAAAGCTGAGAAGCATCACCACTGACATATTTGCCTGGAAAAGGAAAAACCATCATTGTTCCATAACTCCATGGCTCTTCAACATGCCTCTCAATACCAGATGGCGAGCTTTCCAAGTGGGAAGAGTGCTGTTGTGCTGACATCCTGCTTGCAGACATCCCAGAGACATCTGCTTGGTCCTTCTAAGAACAGGATCCTTGACTAGACAGAATATTGGTTTGACTCGACAAGGTTCGTATGTTCACATTTCCTTGGAATCTTGCATAGATATACACAATGGCCATGATGATCTTACTGAGTACAGTTAATAGTAATAAGTCAATAACTGTGTCTAATATCAGTTACACACCAAGAGTATAAAATTCTAAAAATCAGTAGCAATACATTTGATATCACTTAGCGACCACTAGCTAATAAAGGTTCAATTGTGTGAACAGTTCAATTCCAGATCCATGCCAGTTCTATTACTGGTGGTACTGGTAATAATCATTGCCATATGGCTTCTCCTCCTCATAGTACTAGGAATGGTACTAGCTTATGTTGGTCATTGGACAAATGGAATCCACTGAACGGAGGATAGACAGAGAGATCCCAGAGGGAATAGCAAAGTAAGCATATTTCTGTGGAGTAGACATTATTAGCTACTTTTCTCCTCTTGTTAAGGGTTAATATTTTCCGTAAGCTTTGGAAGCTGCCGTATACTGAATTGGTCCCTTGTTCCATCTAGCTCAGTATTGTCTACACTGACTGGCAGCTGCCCTCCAGAATTTTCAGACGGGGTTTTCTTTAAGCCTTTCCTGGAGAACCCAGAGAATGAACCTGGTGTCCTTTGCATACAAAGCTCTACCCTTTCCCAAATTACTAAGGATTCCCAACTTACACAGCAGAAATAGCCCAAGGAGAATCCACTGAGCTGGTTGGATTCCTGAGGTCATTCTGAAGAACCCAGATGCTCTCACCAACAGAGATCCCTCCTAGTAAGGTCTGGAAATTCAGAAGAAACTAAGGTCGCCGTCTTCCCCAGTTCAATGAATTAGCAATGTGTGCTTTCTCTTGTCCTTTTTCTTTTTGGCTCTCTCCTGCTAGTCAGAAGTAGAATTGTGAAAATCTTAAGTTAACACAGCTAGAATAAACCACACCTGGTGAAGGGTTTTGTGAGGCAAGAATGACTCCTCATTGCTATCTAGTGGAAGAAAACAAAGATAGCAGGGTTGCTTACAAATTGTGTTTGTGGCTTCTGTCTTGTGGTTTTCTTTTGAGCACATGGGTTTTTAGTTACATTGGGGTCACATCTACGGGTGCTATCAGCTTCCCTTAACAGATCTGACTTTATGCCAAGGGTCTCTCAACACTTTTTGGGGTACATTTTGGAATCCAAGAAACTGTGGTGGACACCACAAAGCACTCGTCTCACAGAAGGAAAAACGGATGCTCAGAACACACATGCACCCCATCACAAACCAGGTGAAACATTTACATGAGCAAAACACCCTAAACCAAAAAAAAAAAAAAAAAAAAACCAACAAAAAAAAACTCAGGCAACCTTCCCCGAAACACCCCCTATCTATATTTTTTTTAGAAATAAAAAATTCAGAGGATCAGGGGCCCTTGATATCCACCAAGGGAGATTGCCTAATGGCTCCCCCTGGGGGATCCCTGAAAGTGATGCTTTTGAATGCAAGTGATGCAAGGAGTTTCTAGGAAGACCAGAGAGAGTAGGCACAATCTGTTGGGTGTATTCTACATCAAAGGTGTTGATGCGTTCACAATCTACTCTTGGGTTTTCTTCTTTAACAAACTTGCAGCAGAGTTTCTTTTTTAATTTAGTATCTTTATTATCTAACAAAAATTACACTGATCGAATACAAATAAAATAACATAACAGAATCCTTTCCTCTTCCAGGCTTCCAGACCTAATGTTGACTCATGCTCATTTACACACTGACAGTTTTACACTGACCCTTATTGACCACATGTCCTTAATAAATGCACCTGTTTGCTCCGTAGGTTTTTCTGTTGCCTAGCAACCTGTTCAAGACCATATTCCCACACAAGGCTGGGCAGGAGCAGCAAAGTTATGATAAAGGAGGTTGCCAGTTAAAGCACGACGCACACTAGAAATTCTTAAATTATTATTATTATTTATTAAATTTGTTTACTGCCCCATACCTGCAGGTCCCAGGGCGGGACCTCCAACATCTAACATTGTCCCTGAGGCTTATTCTTCTAAGGAAACCTCTGGGTTTTCTTTTTTTCTCATCTTGCTAAGGAAAAAGTCCTTCTACATGCTACGTTCTTAACTACAACTGTTCAAGAATTATTATGTACGTTTTTATTTTTCAAATTGTGGATCTGCTTGCTAACCAAGGCTTTTTTGTGAACAAGAGTGGGATATAAATCCTACTAGTAGCAGTAGTAGTATTACTTAACTACTGTCTACATATTTTGGAAAGTTATTTGTCCACCTGTTCTCTATCTGTCCAGACACGTCTTAAGATATCATAACTAAAATAGGCACAATGCTTCCTGAGATCAAGGAGAAGTTTTTCCATCTCTGCTTGAATAATATTGGACATCATTTTGAAGTTATGATGGAGGTCTGAACATAATAATTGCTCTACTTTGAAAATGGCACAACCCAGTTTTGCATAGTGGTGCTTAAGAATGAGGAAGGGCTATATGTTTGCCTGCAAGAGGACAACATTTTGAACCAAGATGGCAGACTACACTCATTTGTTACTCTCCTGAGATATCACAACTCTCATGTCCTTGGGGGAAGAATCTTCTTCAGAGGAGGACCCCCCCAACACACACACAAAAAGTACATGTTGCAGGGGAGTAGGCTGTGTCAATGGACACTGAGGCAGAGCAGGGGGATCCAGGGCCTCTTGGGTCATAGTACTCCAGTCTCCCCCATGAGATACAGACTCAGAGGCAGATTGGGCCAGAAGTGGGCCATGATGGAAGCAGCTCACAGATAATCCTCACGTAGTATCTCTAATGGGGAGGAGAGCCTTGAATCATGCTGCTTTGCATCATTTGCCTATTTGGCTGGATAGCCCTCTTCAAAAACCCACCCACTTCTCTTCACAAAAATCTACATTAGCTCAAACCTTCAGTTCTTTGGCTTGCAACATAACTTTGGTGAGGAAATTCCCAGCTGATTGGCGGCAAAGAGGACGCTCCTCTGCCATGCTTGCCTTAAATGCGGCAAGCCACACCCCCAGAGCCAGCCGATTGGCTGGCCAGGGGGGTGACACGACGGAGGATTCCCTGATCGCGCAGGGCTGGGAACGCAAGTGTTGGGGGCCTGAAGCCCACAATACCACCTCCTCCCGAGGTCGGAAGTGGCTTTGTCAGTTTGAATACATTGTGGAGTATGAACATATCATAGACAGTTACTTGAATTATGCTTTTCTTTAGAAAACACTACACCAGAAGATGAATAGGGAGGTGGAGGAGAGAGACCTGAAACAAATTATTGTAGATAGTCCAGTTCATCCTTCCCTACTGCAGGATACCCTATTCCACTCACATCCAACTTTTGCATTTCCACCTTGTAATAATCAGTTGGCCACGACCATTGTTTTCAAAGATTCTTTTCTACATTGTTTTTTAAACAAATAAACAAACAAACAAACAAACACGGAAACACAATTTTGGTACTGTGGGAAACATTTGGTACCCCAAAATCTGCTAATGCCACTCTTTTGTGAATGGATTATGCTGTTTTGGCTACATGAGAATCCACCCCCCCCCCCTTGTACTATGGAAATAGAGGGGAAAACACCATATGGCTATCATGGCCAAGGAGAAAAAGAGGTGGTGAAATTTCTGAACTAGGGCAAAGATTTATTCTGAATGACTCATTCATAAAAAGTGTGACGTGGGTTCTTCAGCTCAGTGAAGAGGATCAAAGCTCTTCAGGTTTTTGTGCAGCTTGCCTTGCATTTCCCACCACTGTGTCACTTGCAGCACAATGGTAGATCCCAGCGTCCCCATCTCCACCTTGCTGATGGACAGCTCTGTAGACAGATTCCCTTTGTCAGTGTCCATCTCCAACCGTTCTTTCTTCTCAGTTTTAGAGTAACCGTAGATGACTAAGGAAGGGGCTGCATCTCTGGTTTGCTTGTACCAGAAGATCCCATTATAATCAGAGACTCCATGTTTACAGAAGATCCGAGCTGTTTCTCCAGAAGAAAAGGAGACTTCAGAAAGCTGAGAAGCATCACCACTGATATCTCTGCCTGGAAAAAAAAAAAATCATTATTGATCCATAACTCCATGGCTCTTCAACATGCCTCTCAATACCAGATGGCGAGCTTTCCAGGTGGGAAGAGTGCTGTTGTGCTGACATCCTGCTTGCAGACATCCCAGAGACATCTGCTTGGTCCTTCTAAGAACAGGATCCTTGACTAGACAGAATATTGGTTTGACTCCACAAGGTTTGTATGTTCCCATTTCCTTGGAATCTTCCATAGATATACACAATGGCCATGATTTTCTTACTGAGTAAGTTAATAGTAATTAGTCAAGAACTGTGTGTAATATCAGTTGCACACCAAGAGTATAAAATTCTAAAAATCAGTAGCAATACATTTGATATCACTCAGTGACAACTGCTAATAAAAGTTCAATTGTGTGTACCATTCCAGATCTATGCCAGTTCTATTACTGGTGGTACTGGTAATAATAACTGTCATCTGGCTTCTCCTCCTCATAGTAGTAGGAATGGTATTAGCTTGTATTGGACATTGGACAAATGGAATCCACTGAATGGAGGGTAGACAGAGAGATCCCAGAGGGAACAGCAAATTACGTGTATGTCTGTGGAGTAGACATTATTAGCTACTTTTCGCCTCTTGTTAAGGGTTAATATTTTCTGTAAGTTTTGGAAGCTGCCTTATACTGAGTTGTTCCCTTGTTCCATCTAGCTCAATATTGTCTACACTGAAGGGCAGCAGCCCTCCAGAATTTTCAGAGAGGGGTTTTCTTTAAGCCCTAC